GGCAGACAGGCCCCGGCTGCCCCTCGGGCAGCTCAGGCGCCTCCGGGGCAGGCTCCAGGAGGGGAATGGCAGCTTCCTCCTCCAGGACCACAGTGTCCACGTCGGGGGCAGGCACGAGGGGCAGCTCCACGGCCCCTGGCACTGTAGTGACGGCGCTAAAAGTCTCATGCGGGTCGGGCGGCGCCTCGCCCAGCTCCGCTTTAGTGTCCGCGTCCACGGGGGGCTCCATTGGCACCAGCGTCACAGCCGAGAGCAGCACAGGCTCCACCTCGGGGATGAGGGGAGGAGGAGGCGACGGTGACGCCGACTTGCTGGGCTCCAGGGAGACGGGCTTGCTTACCACCAGCGCAGGCTTCGGACGGTCATCTGCAAGACGAGCAGCATTGAGCCACAGAGCCCTGATCCCCCCCAGACCCCCAAACCCAGATCCCCCCACCTGCAGGAAGAGTGGGGGCAGATGTGCCAAACCACATCAAGCAGCTCGTGCTGGCAGACGTATGACAGGGACAACAAGGGACCTTGGTGCCCAGGTAACGGCTGAGGTACGTGGTAGGTGAACAGGCAACCCTTGCAAACCCTCCTGGACACCATAGTGGGACAGCATTCCTTACGTATGTGGGGAACGTGCCAGCCTCCCATTCCTCAATTTATCTGGGGCTTGCAGGGTCAGCTGTCTCCCTCCCTGCAGGGCTCAGGGAGCCTGACACCAGTCACACCAGCTGGCCCGGCTGCTCTACGCAACAGATCTGGCCCTTCCCGTGCACATACCTGGCCGGACAATAACTGCTACATGGGGTGTCTCTCCGTTGGCCTGGGGCTCCAAACCGCTTCCAGCCTGGGAGGCAAAGAGGGAGCTCAGTAGGACCCCAGGCACCCTCCAATGTCCCCATCGGGGAGGTGTGGTGTCCTCTTACCTGGGGAGGGGTGGGGGTGGATGAGGTCCTTGCTCCAGACATGATTTCTTCAGTGATGTCTTTGCCACCTTGGTTGGGGTCTCGTATCCGAATCTGTCCGTGAGACAGGAAGCAGGAGAGAGAGGGCAGCTGTCAGCAGGGTGGGGGAGACGGCATACAAGTGCACCCCCCTTTCCTGGGCCCAACAGCCCCAGGACATCCCCTTCTCTGAGTGGAAAGGCAAGAGGGTTCATTCAGCGCCGTGCTCGCCCCAGCCTCACGTGGCGCGGGGGCTGGCGGGTGCCATCTCCCCTCCACATGGAGCAACGTGCCCCACGGACAAGGTACCCGGCCTGACACCTGGCAGGAGGGGACACTGCAGGGCAGGGGGAGCCTTGGCAGCTACTGCTGGGGATGCAGAGCCAGCACCGTGTCCCCAGCCCTGGGGACAGGCCAGCCCAGCCTTCTGGAGTGTCACAATGCCCCGGGCACTGCCCGCCTCCAGGGGCTGGGCACATGCTGGGGGACCCCCTGGCACCACCACACTGGCATAGGGGCTGGGGGCACACTCCTGCCTTGGGGATACTCGGCGTGGGGACGGCAAGCTGGCCTGGGGGACTCGTCCAGGCACGGTCCCCAGCCCTGGGGACAGGCCAGCCCAGCCTTCTGGAGTGTCACAATGCCCCGGGCACTGCCCGCCTCCAGGGGCTGGGCACATGCTGGGGGACCCCCTGGCACCACCACACTGGCATAGGGGCTGGGGGCACACTCCTGCCTTGGGGATACTCGGCGTGGGGACGGCAAGCTGGCCTGGGGGACTCGTCCAGGCACGCAAATGGCACAGCGAGCCCCCGCTGGGGGCACAGCACCAGTGTCTACAACTGGGGGTGGGGAGGGGGGAAGGAGGGGGACACCTGCCTGCCCCATGCTCACACCGAAGTACGGCAGGGGCCCCCGGGGCCGCCGCGTCGTGCCGCGCGCTGGT